GTCCTTTGGTTCCACCCAGCCCAGGCACAGGGGGCAGCCCAAGCTATGGCACATGCAGCTGGGCCTGCTGCCCCTGGGTGCACAGCAGGGCTGGGGTGGCACAGCAGCCAGACTCACTTCCCAGCAGCCCTGGTAGCAGCAGTTTCTTCAGGCTGCCACTGCTGTTGGACCCAGCCCTGCAACCTGAGCACCCCAGCTCATCCAGCTCTCACCTACTGCAGGGGATGGGACCCATGTGGCTGGACGGATGGGATGGGTCTACGGGTGGGCAGGGAGTGGTATTCGGAAATGGTATGGGTGGGAGAGGCAGGGATTTTGGGGTGATGCCAGCATGAGACCAGGGCTGACAGAGCCATGGTCTGTTCCCTATGTGCCACTATGATGGGTGCAGGTTCTGCAGCAGGAACATGTGGGGAGCAGATCATGGCTCTTTCCCAACCTGGCCTCAGACACAGCTCCCCTCCCTCCCATAACCCCATCCCATTCACCTGGCTATGCACTCTGCCTGGGTAAGTCCTAACTAGTCTCCATGCAAACCCAAGACTGTGAGGTGGTGCCAAGACTGCGGGGTGGTGCCTGAGGCAGAGCCATGATCCCCTTCCTGCATGCCTCTGCCCACAGGGCGTGCACGCAATGGATCATGGCTCTCTTCCATGCTCAGCCAGGATGGGGCAGGGCTGGGATCCAGGGAAGCAGCATCTGAAAGTGGGATGGATGGGCAGGGCCAGGGCTGGAATCACAGGGCTCTGGCCCTGCACTGTCATCGCCCCACAACCCCACCCCCGGCCCTGTCCCGAGTCTATTTTCTTTCATTTGTTTATTCTTATATCTCTGGCAGTGTCTCAACATATGGTTATTGATGTCTTATTTTTTATCTTGGTTTTCATAGTTTCATAGTTGTTAGGGGCTGTAAGGGACCTTACAGATCATTGGGTCCAGCCCCTGCACGTGGGCAGAAAAGACTGCTGGGATCAAAGGATTTCAGCAATATGGGCATCAAGTTTTGTAACGAATCTTTTTGTTATCTTTTAAAATTAACTAAATGTCAGTATAAGTGTAATATCAAAGCATTTGACAATAAAGGTAGGTCTCTTTCAAGGAAGGGGGAGCCTATAATTTCTGAGCATATGACTGGACAAGGGTGTGAGTCCCATAGCTGGCAAAAACCCTGCTGCTAAGTGCTGACAAGACTTAGGTGACATGGGTCAAGCTGAAGTGCTGTTGGTCAGAGACATGACTTTTGAAGTCAGTCAGTTTGTTCTCAGTGGCCAAACAGCATATGGCAGAGAGAAGTCTGGGGCTGAAGGGTACCCTTGAAGGTGTGAGAACACCCCAAGAGTGTGTGTCTCAGAGGCGTACCTGACCACATCTGAGGTCAGGTTGTATCACAGGTTCATCTTGATTTAGGCACAATTGGGCAAGTTCTGGTAGATTCCCACCTGCCAACCTCAGGCTTCCCTCTCCCTGCCCTATAGCATCATCAGCTTGGTCACCCCCCACCCCTGCCCCCTTCTCTTGTCATTAGCCCATGAATTTCCACGCAGGATTAGCCATGGCAAAGACGGAGACTGAACATGTTCTCACCCTGGAAATTTGATGTTTTGCTCCTATATGAAACAAAATCTTGAACACCTGGAATTTCCTGGGGGATAGATATTCTATTTCCTGGTCAGCTCTGATGAATGTCCTTGTTCTCACTTTGACACAGACAGAAAAATAATTCCTTTCATGCTAGTCATTAATATTTTATTCTGATATGTTGTATAACAACTAGTTGTACGTTTCATTAACAAATTAACTTTTAACTAAATTTGTTTAATTTAAATGTGTTTAATATGTTATATTTAATTAAACAAATAAACTTTTAATGAATGAATTGATTGTTGTGTATATTTTTGAGGATTCAAGAATTCTAGATAATACCTGATGCAGTTGTTCAAGGCCAGCAGCTGGTAACTCTCCAAACTAGTATGCCACAATGAATATTAAAAAAGAGAAAGCTCCCTCATGATGTAGTGCAAGGTGTGACCAGCTTATGGTTGCATGTGTTTTAGTGCACTGGTTCACTATGGCTAGAGCAGGATCAGGCAATGATTTGGGCTGGAGGACTACTTAAGGGATTTTGGTGAGCTGTTGTGGGCCAGGGGGAGGTGCTGACCTGGTCCAGCATGGTAGGGGGAAGGTGGTACTGACCCAGCCTGGTGTGGCAGAGACAGGCAATTGATCCTATCCAGCCCTGGGCCCCTCTGCCTAACACTCCCCACTGGAAGTGCCAGACACAGCGAGCAGGCAGGCAGGCAGTGTCTTCATGGAGATGAGTCAGGACCCCAACAGGCAGGGCACACGTGGCTAGACGAATGGGATGGGGGATGTGCAGGGAATGAATTGCGGCTCTGCCCTGGACCTTGGCCCTGCATTTTCACTGCCCCATGATCCTGATCCTGTCTGCCCATGCAGACCTGGATAGGTTAGAGAAGTGGGTGGATCTGAAC